CCCACCCCCGCCCGCCCCTCGACAACAATTAGACTGGGTCGGCTGCCACACACACAAGCATCCAACTCATCCAATCTGCTAAATACGCTGCAACCGTTCATTCTTGGTTTAAAACTGCCCCAGTTGGTTCAATACTGTCCGACTCGGTTCAAGACTATTCCACTTGGAATGTCCCAATTGGTTCACAATTGCTCCACTTGGTTCAGGACTGTCCCACTGGGTTGTCCAAGACTTCCTCTTGGTTCAGGAATGTCCTACTTGGTTCAAGACTGTTCCACTTGGTTCAGGAATGTCCTGATTGGTTCAAACTGTTCCAAGACCCCCACTTGGTTCAAGATTGTCCAAGACGGATCCACTTGGTTCAGGACTGTGGTCCGGGACTATTCCACTTGGTTCAGGACTGTGGTTCGGGACTATTCCACTTGGTTCAGGACTGTGGTTCGGGACTATTCCACTTGGTTCAGGACTACTCCATATGGCTCCAGAGTGTTCCACTTGCTTTCATTCATCCTGGCGCGCAGTGAGCTTGCCAGCTGTTGGGCTAAGAGTCCTAAAGCTGCATTGCTGCTGCAATAACCAAGTTAGGGTCAGCCGCAGTAGCAGTAGTGGCTCATCTGCTCGGCAACCGAAATGAATGCCCTGCATTCCTACAATACCTCAGGCTAGCCCAGAGAAAGCGCAGTGACATACAGTGGTCATTTCCTTCCTTTTTCTCACCAACTCCCTCAGGAGGAGCATAGAACCAGATCAGGTTTCCAGCCCAAGCTGCTTCTTTGCATTCACCACGGAGCTTTACTACAGTAGCATCACTTTTCCACTCACCACAGGCTTAGTAGTATCACTGTTGTGTCCCCCCTTAGAGACACAAAGGTGCAGAAAAAAAGAAGTGGAAGTTGGCAGTAACTGCATTCAAGGCAGAGCGCACCTCCTCTAACTCCTCTGCTCCCCCGATGTACTTTCCATTGATGAATATCACAGGCACAGATCGTCGCCCAGTGACATCTCTGACTACCTCCTGAGCCTTTGCGTCCTCCGAGATGTCAATTTCCCTGTAAACCACGCCATTCTGCTTAAGAGCCGCCTTCGCACGATGGCACGCTGGACAACCTAGGTTTGTGAAAACTAGCGCTTCGCCTCCCTCCATGGCATCTGTTTTTCAATTGGAAAAATCATCACAAAATCAGAGATGTGTGGTCATAGCCACGAACGGACTGAAGGAAAAGCCCTTCTCAGACAAAACAATGGCCGATGCAGCTCTGTGCTCGCATTGCGGGGATAAACGATTCCTTTTTTTTCCCCCTCATTTTTGAATTCTACTCTTAATTTTAAAATGAGAAAATGAGCTAAACCACACCATTTTGTCCAGCTTAAACCACCACTACCTCCGAGCCTCGTTTTGCCGAGGCGGATTCCCCCCGCACCTAAATTTTGAAATGAGGAAATGAGCTAAAACACACCATTTGTTCAGTTTAAACTACCACTCCCTCCAAGCCTCTTTTTGCCGAGGCGGATTCCCCTCGAGCCCCAAGCTTTGTCAAAACGCCAGTGCAGCGTTTTTGGTTTGGTTTCGGCTGGCGCCGCCAGCCATTTTGGCCCGGTATAACACTCTTCGTCCGAAGTCTTAGGAATGTCGCATTTGCGACTCCCAACGTTGCCTGGGAAAGGTAGTGGTGGTTTATGTGTGCTCTTAACACAATATCAAGCTCGACACGCTCCAAGGTTTGTGAGCGCCATCGCTTCGTCTCCTTCTCCCTCTCCCTCCCCTTCCATGGCATCAATTCCTGAATGAACAATCACAAAATCAGAGACATATGGTCACACACAAGTTCTCACATCTACAAAACGACACATCGGGGATGCGTAAAATTCTTTTGTTGTCAGTTTTGACACCTTCACAGACTAGAGGAAAGACCACTTGCCAGAGAAACGACTTCCCCAACTCAGCTCTGCACACACATTGTGGAGCTGTCTCTTATACACATCTAGATGTGTATAAGAGACAGGGTATATACTATACACTACAGTCTTCCCCCGAAT